CCCCTCCATCTTGCTGTCTAGCCTTTAACCCCGTCTGTGGTGCCAACACCCACCCCCCTTTTCCGCTCCGTCCCATATCTTGTCCAGCGCCGACCCCCCTGCCCGTCCCGCCCCACGATACACTTGTAATGAGATCTGCTAATCAAATGATATATCATATATAATATTACAACAGGGCAATCAAACAAGCCGATTTCTGTGAGGTGTTTTGAACTGTGTCAAAATATGATCTATTAAATACATATCTATTACTTCATATCGGTTATTGAATTCATAACTGGATGCACACATTCAATCAACTGACGTAGGGTGTATTTGTTTCATTAATGACGACTCTCAGCCGTCATAAAATAGACTTTATATAGTCAGTGTATAGCCCGTTAATCGTATTATCACCGTGAACCTGTTAGTTCTATGCAGTGATCAATTCTATGTTTTGACAGTGGTTTTTTTTCTCTCTCTGCTGTTCCAGACTGGCTGCGCCGCTGTCCCGTGGAGATACGTCGACTTGGGACCTAAAACATACATCTTATTATTATGAAGACATCGTGATACATAACAACAACAGAAATAGCCATAACGCACCAAACAAAGGCTTGATCGTTCAAAGCGTTCATAGACATAATATTTAGTTTGGTGTTTTTGAAGATTTGAATCTGCCCAGCGGTTGTAGATAGGAGTAGTATCATTGTGTGGACGCGTTCCTGTGGGCTTTTAAGCCTTTAAACATTCATCTACATTACACATGACAGACAACGCCGGATTGTCGGATAACGTCAGCACAATGACCGAGGTTTCGGGATTAAGAAGCCCTTCGAAATCTCGGCCTCTGGGAGAAGTCAAAGACAATATAATTTGCTTTGACGAAGACAACCAGATACAACGGCCTACTACTAACTCGTCCCGGGAGGGACGCCGTCGCCGCACCGAAAGGTACAGCTTTCGGCGGATGAAGGAGATGCGCGAAAGTCTACGTCAAGCAGCGCTGATAAATATAGTGGCAGCAGTTAATGACGAGTATGAAGATACAACTACACCAAAGAGATCTCAGTCGGCTGTAGACCCGTTCACAAACACTATGGCCGTTCTATCGAACCTCGTGTTGAATAAGGACAGGACTATATCTATCCCTAAGCAGCAAGTGTTCAAAGAGGCTCCCCAGAAGTTTTCTATAAAGAAACCACTGTTTTATAAAAATTCTGCAGACGAACCTTCTCCCGACGAAGATGAAGATGAAATCGAACAGAGGAGGCGGAGTATATCCTTGTCCCGTACACGTACCGCTGTGGGGGATACCCCACCGCATGCGGCCAAAACGGAGAACATCTCAATATCCGTGCCTCTTCATCAGATCAGCGAGGAGAGCAAGGAGGAGAGTCCGGACAAGGAGTGGATAGATAGTCCGGCCAAGGTCAGGATAGCAAGGTCATGGACACCGCGGCGGCGTTTTGTGTCACTGAACAAACGTAACGATACACGGATTACGACTAGTATAGCGAAGTGTGATGCTGTAGACATTTACGAATCAACCGACACTTTTAATGGGAGCTACGTCACAAATTGTGTGCCTCCCCAACACCGCCCTAACTCGTCAAATGACCTCAGTATGTACCGTGCCAAATCACTTCCCTCCATATTTCCGGTGAAAAGACGAAAGTCTTGCGCGTTGCAGGATTCTCCTCAGATACTGACTAACAATGAAAAGGTGAAGGTAACCGCTCCGTTTAAGCCACCGGTACAAAAGACAGTAAGAGAAAACAGTATAGCGGCAGACAACCCAATATTGTCAAGGAATATACAGAAACTGTCATTGGGATCTACTATCAATGGGGGTAGTAAAAAGTCGGACAGCAAACCTAGTAGCGGAGGATTCACATATCCAGAAGAACAGACAGAAAGTCTACCGACCCTTCAACAGGTAGATCCTTCCATGTCCCTAGAGTGTCGGTCACTTACCATGACGTCACAGATGATGGGCGGAAGTTCTGTAAAGAATAAAAGAATAAGTACGAACACTCCAGCTTTTAAAATATCGGAACAAGTTCTTACAAATGAACGAGACGTGATGCGGGAAATAGACTGTCAGTTCGAGGAACTTCAAAAACGGATATCTAGGAAGATTCTTAATTGGAGCGACAGAAAAACTGGACCGCCACCCTCCGCGAACCAACAGGATATAGTGGTGTCTGGCTACAACGTCCTCGGCAAGGACGTCGGGATGAAATCTAGTCTAAGTAGTGCTCAAAGCCGTGGCACTAATAATTCTATGAGGGGGCTTAAACGGGTCAAATTCGTGGACGAAGAAACAAGCGGTTATGAGGATGGCCGGAGTATAGTCAGTAGCTCGGTGTTTTGGGACGATAACGAGAGGGCCGCCATTAGGGCACAGGGCGTGGCTAATAAGATGCATGAACCAGTTCGACCAATAAAACCCATGTCTACGAACGAACTAATCCGTCTCAAGAAACGTCTTATGCCGGGGCATTACAACATGGCAAATAAACATGCCAGGTACAACATACTTGACAATAACAGTATTCGTATTTCGGGCATGCGCTCTCGTCGAAGCACGTCGACCGCGACCAGTTTTACTTCCTCTCAGTCTGACCGACGATCCCTAGTGTCCGAAACAGACCTTGCTAGTTTTGACGGGTTCGCGGAATTCAGTGCTAATCGGGAACTTGATGCCACAAACCGGAACAGTTCCAAGGTACCAAAGAGTTTTGGTATGTCCTCGTTTTATCCCGACTCTCAGAGTCTGTACGTGGGCAGAGGCGAATATGGTGTGGATGAAACGACAGATACGGAGGACGAAGATGGCGAAGACGATGATGAAGACGATATGGACGATATTCGCATGGGGGACGAAAGTTTTCGGGTTCTAAAAGCTATTGACTTAGGAACTCTGTCTGGCTACCAAAATAGACGTTTTAAGAAACCAAGCATAAAAGAGACCGCCACTACTCAGCATTATGTGAAAATTAAGATGAAATGAACAGTCGACTGCATTCTTTTTGATAGTTGTATCGTGTAAACAACGAATTTGGTTACAAAACTTCTCGCAACATTGTTATATATCACCAGACAGCTTCGCTGTATAACAGACAAAGAAAGCTGGCGACCATTTCATATGCCATCTTGTTCTGACCAGGATATTGCAACTTATGGTGACATGTTTCGCTACACCGGATGTGATGTACGCATATCATTCCGACCATGATACGAATTCAATGGAGATTTACAAATTTATATGGTTTTCTAAATGCAGATTCGTGTTCTCGTCGCTATCAAGTATATAACTACTAACACGCCCAGGTAAAAATACAAGTAATTCACTTAGCAGACGGTCTTCCTTTTTTACCCGTGTGGATTCATTTCCGGTGGGCTAAAACCCAATCACACACGGATAGAAATTAAACGTAATTCCATGAGAATTGGCCGGAGATGCGTTTGATATGCTATGTACGGCCAGTGGACGACAGATAAGCCCTTATTGACGTAATAATCAGTATAAAATCTGGCACGGGAGATATTATTGTCGAACGGCCATTGATCCGTTCAGATAGCATCGAATAACTGTCAGTTCTGCACAGGAAATCAATTCTCTTTTCTAATTTCGATATTTGTATTTCATTTGAATCTTACAGGGCGTCACTGCAAAATCTTCATCAATATTTCGAAATTAACGTTGTCTTCGCTTTTGGCATTGTTTGTCTAGCGAGACAGACGCTGTGTAAAAGTACAGTACGGATGAGTGTAGGCCGAGATATCGATTATATGACAAAAATGCATTTGGAAAAGTGCACGTATAATTTCGTGTATCTAAGATGTAAATGATTGACTCTTGCATTGTATAACTAATTGAATTTTCTATAGTACATACAGAAGGTATTTGTTGATATATATGTACAATGTGTAGTTAACACCAGCCTGTCGTCAATTATCGCTGGGAATAACACTATGAGATAAGGATTTAGACAAAATTGTTTAAATATATTTCAAGTTTAAGTAAACCTAACGGCCAGGCCGTCACAGACAACTTCACCTCGTTAGATGTACTAAAAGGTATACCAGTCATCGGAGATATTTTCGCATTATGACTGAAATAGATTAAATGAAAAAGATGAACAAAGCATTCAACTTTGGACATGGAAGAGTCTCGATTCCAACTCATATATACATACATTTAAACACAAGATTTCATTAAAATGATGATTAAAATGCTAGTTAATTAAAAAGCTATATTCGGGTTATTTTGCCCATATAGACACTATATGTAATGTCATTACATCTGTAGTATCAATAAAGCGGAATAGGATTTTCAAACACATTCAAATTTTGTTTTTGTTTTTTTTCAATAATTTTTCTTACAGGAATAGGTGGCTTAAAATCCTCTTTTCCGGACAATTCAGTTCAATAAATATGAATACTTCAAGAGTCAATCATAAATGATGGTGTACCGATGTTTTATAACTGAAGTTGTATACTCCGTATGATAACAGCAATGCACCTATTGTGTATAACTAGTGATATAACTACGGTATAATACCGGTACTGTCCCAACACTGTATAACTAGTGATATATACGGTATAATACCGGTACTGTACCAATACTGTATAACTAGTGGTATGACTACGGTATTATACCGGTACTGTACCAATACTGTATAACTGGTGAAATGACTACGGTATAATACCGGTACTGTACCAATACTGTATAACTAGTGGTATGACTAGGGTATAATACCGGTACTGTACCAATACTGTATAACTAGTGGTATGACTACGGTATAATACCGGTACTGTACCAATACTGTATAACTAGTGGTATGACTACGGTATAATACCGGTACTGTACCAATACTGTATAACTAGTGGTATGACTACGGTATAATACCGGTACTGTACCAATACTGTATAACTAGTGGTATGACTACGGTATAATACCGGTACTGTACCAATACTGTATAACTAGTGGTATGACTACGGTATAAAACCGGTACTGTACCAATACTGTATAACTAGTGGTATGACTACGGTATAAAACCGGTACTGTACCAATACTGTATAACTAGTGGTATGACTACGGTATAAAACCGGTACTGTACCAATACTGTATAACTAGTGGTATGACTACGGTATAAAACCGGTACTGTACCAATACTGTATAACTAGTGGTATGACTACGGTATAAAACCGGTACTGTACCAATACTGTATAACTAGTGGTATGACTACGGTATAAAACCGGTACTGTACCAATACTGTATAACTAGTGGTATGACTACGGTATAAAACCGGTACTGTACCAATACTGTATAACTAGTGGTATGACTACGGTATAAAACCGGTACTGTACCAATACTGTATAACTAGTGGTATGACTACGGTATAAAACCGGTACTGTACCAATACTGTATAACTAGTGGTATGACTACGGTATAAAACCGGTACTGTACCAATACTGTATAACTAGTGGTATGACTACGGTATAAAACCCGTACTGTACCAATACTGTATAACTAGTGGTATGACTACGGTATAAAACCGGTACTGTACCAATACTGTATAACTAGTGGTATGACTACGGTATAAAACCCGTACTGTACCAATACTGTATAACTAGTGGTATGACTACGGTATAATACCGGTACTGTACCAATACTGTATAACTAGTGGTATGACTACGGTATAAAACCGGTACTGTACCAATACTGTATAACTAGTGGTATGACTACGGTATAAAACCGGTACTGTACCAATACTGTATAACTAGTGGTATGACTACGGTATAAAACCGGTACTGTACCAATACTGTATAACTAGTGGTATGACTACGGTATAAAACTGGTACTGTACCAATACTGTATAACTGGTGGTATGACTAGGGTATAATACCGGTACTGTACCAATACTGTATAACTAGTGGTATAACTACGGTATAATACCGGTACTGTCCCAATACTGTATAACTAGTGGTATGACTACGGTATAAAACCGGTACTTAACCAATACTGTATAACTAGTGGTATGACTACGGTATAAAACCGGTACTGTACCAATACTGTATAACTAGTGGTATGACTACGGTATAAAACCGGTACTGTACCAATACTGTATAACTAGTGGTATGACTACGGTATAAAACCGGTACTGTACCAATACTGTATAACTAGTGGTATGACTACGGTATAAAACCGGTACTGTACCAATACTGTATAACTAGTGGTATGACTACGGTATAAAACCGGTACTGTACCAATACTGTATAACTAGTGGTATGACTACGGTATAAAACCGGTACTGTACCAATACTGTATAACTAGTGGTATGACTACGGTATAAAACCGGTACTGTACCAATACTGTATAACTAGTGGTATGACTACGGTATAAAACCGGTACTGTACCAATACTGTATAACTAGTGGTATGACTACGGTATAAAACCGGTACTGTACCAATACTGTATAACTAGTGGTATGACTACGGTATAAAACCGGTACTGTACCAATACTGTATAACTAGTGGTATGACTACGGTATAAAACCGGTACTGTACCAATACTGTATAACTAGTGGTATGACTACGGTATAAAACCGGTACTGTACCAATACTGTATAACTAGTGGTATGACTACGGTATAAAACCGGTACTGTACCAATACTGTATAACTAGTGGTATGACTACGGTATAAAACCGGTACTGTACCAATACTGTATAACTAGTGGTATGACTACGGTATAAAACCGGTACTGTACCAATACTGTATAACTAGTGGTATGACTACGGTATAAAACCGGTACTGTACCAATACTGTATAACTAGTGGTATGACTACGGTATAAAACCGGTACTGTACCAATACTGTATAACTAGTGGTATGACTACGGTATAAAACCGGTACTGTACCAATACTGTATAACTAGTGGTATGACTACGGTATAAAACCGGTACTGTACCAATACTGTATAACTAGTGGTATGACTACGGTATAAAACCGGTACTGTACCAATACTGTATAACTAGTGGTATGACTACGGTATAAAACCGGTACTGTACCAATACTGTATAACTAGTGGTATGACTACGGTATAAAACCGGTACTGTACCAATACTGTATAACTAGTGGTATGACTACGGTATAAAACCGGTACTGTACCAATACTGTATAACTAGTGGTATGACTACGGTATAAAACCGGTACTGTACCAATACTGTATAACTAGTGGTATGACTACGGTATAAAACCGGTACTGTACCAATACTGTATAACTAGTGGTATGACTACGGTATAAAACCGGTACTGTACCAATACTGTATAACTAGTGGTATGACTACGGTATAAAACCGGTACTGTACCAATACTGTATAACTAGTGGTATGACTACGGTATAAAACCGGTACTGTACCAATACTGTATAACTAGTGGTATGACTACGGTATAAAACCGGTACTGTACCAATACTGTATAACTAGTGGTATGACTACGGTATAAAACCCGTACTGTACCAATACTGTATAACTAGTGATATGTCTACCGTATAATACCCGTACTGTACCAATACTGTATAACTAGTGGTATGACTACGGTATAAAACCGGTACTGTACCAATACTGTATAACTAGTGGTATATATAAGGTATAATACCGGTACTGTACCAATACTGTATAACTAGTGATATATCTACGGTATTATACCGGTACTGTATCAATACTGTAAAACTAGGGATATTCTTGAAACAAAGTACTTCCGGTACGGTTGATTCCATAGGAACAAAGAAAGGTTGAAGGAGGGCGGTTGATATCACCTGGTTGTATCTATGAATCAAAGTTTAACCAGGCCTCGTATTTCCGCGTGCTAATTGACACTGACTTTAGGAGATAAGATTGAACACAATTATCTGAATAGAGGCGATAAACTAACATCTGGCAGTATAAAAACATGTATCGATATCTTAATGGCATGTATACCAAGTATACTTAAATGTGACAAAGTATACATGTATGTGCGATTTACCGTATATTGCAAGGTTTATTGTTCTTGCCAAACCAGACCAGAGGTACGTGTTATAGGATACGGATATCCTAAGTTTCAAACCATGCAAGGACATATTTGTAGTTATGCCAAATACATAGGTCAAAATCAGAACAGTATTTTACATATATACTCGGTGTTTGACACGTTTACAATTCACATACCTTAAGCTTTTGATACATCTGTATCGTAGTAGTTAGTCAGTGTATTTATCTTAATTGTTGAACGCCTCGTATAGTGTACCTGTTGGTCGCCTCATAAATCTTTCTTGTTGGTCGCCTCATTTATCTTATTCTTTCGTCATATATTATTCAGGTCGCCTGTTTATCATACTTGTTGGTCGCCCCATTTTTCGTACTTGTTGGTCGCCTCATTTGTCGTACTTGTTGGTCGCCTCATTTGTCGTACTTGTTGGTCGCCCCTTTTATCATACTTGTTGGTATCCCCGTTTATCGTACTTGTTGGTCGCCCCGTTTATCATACATGTTAATCACCCCGTTTATCAAACATGTTGTTCGCCCCGTTTATCGTACTTGTTTGTCGCCCCGTTTATCGTACTTGTTGGTTGCCCCGTTTATCGTACTTGTTGGTCGCCCCGTTTATTGTACTTGTTGTTCGCCCCGTTTATCATACTTGTTGGTCGCCCCGTTTATCGTACTTGTTTGTCGCCCCGTTGATCGTACTTGTTGTTCGCCCCGTTTATCGTACATGTTGGTCGCACCGTTGATCATAGTTGTTGGTCGCCTCGTTTATCGTACTTGTTGGTCGCCCCTTTTATCGTACTTGTTTGTCGCCCCGTTGATCGTACTTGTTGTTCGCCCCGTTTATCGTACTTGTTGGTCGCCTCGTTTATCATACATGTTAATCACCCCGTTTATCAAACATGTTGTTCGCCCCGTTTATCGTACTTGTTGGTCGCCCCGTTTATCGTACTTGTTGGTTGCCCCGTTTATCGTACTTGTTGGTCGCCCCGTTTATTGTACTTGTTGTTCGCCCCGTTTATCATACTTGTTGGTCGCCCCGTTTATCGTACTTGTTTGTCGCCCCGTTGATCGTACTTGTTGTTCGCCCCGTTTATCGTACTTGTTGGTCGCCCCGTTTATCGTACTTGTTGTTCGCCCCGTTTATCGTACTTGTTGGTCGCCCCGTTGATCGTACTTGTTGGTCGCCTCGTTTATCGTACATGTTGGTCGCACCGTTGATCATAGTTGTTGGTCGCCTCGTTTATCGTACTTGTTGGTCGCCCCGTTTATTGTACTTGTTGGTCGCCTCATTTGTCGTTCTTGTTGG